GGACAAGTGTAAGGTCCTAGTCCTTCGGATAATCCTCAAAGTTATAAACTAGGTGAAGTGGAGCTTTATCACACAGTTTGTGAAAAGGACTTGGGAGTTACAGTAAGCAGAAACCTAAAGCCAAGACAACAGTGCCTAAGTGTGCACAATAAGGCTAACAGATTACTAGGATTTATTTTAAGAAGTATAAGTAACAGGACCTAGGTAGTAGGTTGGTAGACAGCAACCGCCCAGGGAGGTACTACCGTCCTACCAGGTGAGTGCAAAACTGAAGCCTGTAATTGTTTTACACGATGGTAGGATTGCTGGTGTCTTTTTTTTTTTCTGTCTCATACACATGCAAGATTTCAGGTACGTCTTGCTACTTCCACTTACACTTAGGTCACACTACACATACATGTACAAGCATATATATACACACCCCTTTGGGTTTTCTTCTATTTTCTTTCTAGTTCTTGTTCTTGTTTATTTCCTCTTACCTCCATGGGGAAGTGGAACAGAATTCTTCCTCCGTAAGCCATGCGTGTTTTAAGAGGCGACTAAAATGCCGGGAGCAAGGGGCTAGTAACCCCTTCTCCTGTATATATTACTAAATGTAAAAGGAGAAACTTTCGTTTTTCCTTTTGGGCCACCCCGCCTCGGTGGGATACAGCCAGTGTGTTGAAAGAAAGAAAGAAAGTAACAGGAGTCCTAAAGTTATTTTACAGCTCTATACATCATTAGTAATGCCTTACTTGGATTATGCAACTCAGTTTTGGTCTCCTTACTACATGATGGATATAAATTCACTGGAGAACATATAGAGAAGGATGACTAAAATGATTCACTGCATAAGGAATCTCCTGTGTGAAGATACTTAGATCCTTGAATCTTCACTCTCTGGAGAGACGTAGAATGAGGGGAGATATAAATGAAGTGTAAAAGTGGATGATGGGCATAAGCAAAGGCGATATTAATAAAATACTGAGGATATCGAATCAGGTAAGAACCAGGAATAACAGATTTAAGTTGGATAAATTTAGATTTAGAAAGGACATAGGCAAGTACTGGTTTTCCAACAGTGGTCGATGCGTGGAACAATCTTCAGAGTAGGGTAATGAAGGCTAGGACCCTGGGTAGCTTTAAGAAGAGATTGGACAAACATATGAGTGGGAGGGGCTGGGATTGACTGGTGTCGTGGATACGGGAGTAAATTCTTGGGTAGCTTTGGGAAGAGGTGGTTTTGATAAGTACTTGTCTTGTATGGGCCAGTAGGCCTTCTGCAATGTTCCTCCATTCTTGTTTTTAAATGACATTTCCACTGCCTCCATCCCTTCCTTACTTCAACAACTGGAAGACTACAGTGTGCCAAACACCCATACACCAATCTTAGCACCAGGTTAGAGTTCCTTCACTGAGCCCCCCTCAAAGCCTGTCTATGCTCTAACAAGAAAAATAACACCCCAGCCCAGGCTGCAAGACAAATGATGCATTTCTTTTCTTTACATGCTCTAATAAACTTTCTTTCCTCAGGCTCCTCAACACTCCAGTTACCCCTCATCTTTTCTGTTTCAGCTAGCCTTTCATCGACCCATTTGCCAATACATCCACTCCAATGTATTCTTTTCCTAATCTTACATACAACCTGTCACTGCTTATATTTTTTCTTACTCTCATCACCATGCTCTTATTCTATGTTCACTTTCAATCACCTTTCATACCTCCTCCCAACCTCTACAATGTCTCTCTCTTAAATCTCCCATACAGTCCTGGTTTCACAATAAGTGTAATGCATTTACAAGATATAAACACTTCAAGAAGAAAAGGACAATACCATGGGACCATTGCCAATAACCTGCACATAGAAGACTGAAATTATGATGGCATTTGGTTCCAACTTGGCCAGTGAGACGTAAACACGTTTTAAGTTTTCAGTTTTCCCATGTGGCCAGATTGTGTAAATACGATTAAATAATACTCATGTAAATAAAGACGTACCTGTATTTGGCACAGGTCGTAAGATAAGGGGACCTTTCCCTCATCCTCAGATGATCATCCAGGTCTCATTCACCTCAACAGCATCATCAACAATAGCTGTCAAAAAAAATATACGTATATATAATTCAATCAGAACACACCAACATTGGTTTAAAGATAAATACTGTATCTTATGACCTTCATTTTACGATACAATGAAGATGAACAGCAAGAAAAGGAAACCAAAGACAAATGAGCATTCCTAGACTGCCAAAAGGTATTTAATAATGACTCACATTAAGCTAATTAGATATAAATTCGGCAAAATAGGCAGGTGCATCAGCTAAAAACTAGTATTTCCACTGAAAATGAAGTACCTGGCTAGAAGAGGGTAGTCACAGTGAGAGAGATGTCATAACGGATGGATCAAGTAGTTCCCCAAGGACCAGTCCACGGACTCATACTTATCTTCACACACACGATGCCCTACCTAGAGAAACAGAATCCTGTATGTAAATGTTTGCAGATAATGTAATAGTAAAGTGACAAAAATGGAAGAGAATTACTAAAAGCTATAGGAGAACAATGGGTATGGTGTAGGAAATGTCTGGCAAGTGGTTACTGCATTTCCACTTCAATAAATGCAATTCAACAGGAAAGGGGAAAGGCAAATTACTAACTTCTGGACACGTAATACCTGGAGAGGGTTTCGAGGGTCAACACCCCCGCAGCCCAGTCTGTGACCAGGCCTCATGGTGGATCAGGGCCTGATCAACCAGGCTGTTACTGTTGGCCGCATGTAACCTGACGTAAGAACCACAGCCCGGCTGGTCAGGTACTGGCTTTAGGTGCCTGTCCAGTGCCTTCTTGAAGACAGCCAGGGGTCTATTGGTAATCCCCCTTGTGTATGCTGGAAGACAGGTGAACAGTCTTGGGCCCCTGACACTTATTGTGTTGTCTCTTATCGTGCTAGTGGCACCTCTGCTTTTCATTGGGGACACAGTGCATCGTCTGCCGAGGGTAGTTTTGATAGTTGAATAGTCAGTTTTTTCTGATCAAGGCATATTGAGAACTGGGTTGGTTTGAGTACTAGGATTGGTCTAAAATAGGCCTAAAAGTGAGAAAAATCTGTTGTATAAAGTGCTCCCCAACCTCCAAGTTTGTGCCTGCATAATTCCATAACTATCACATTAAATTTTGCTTTTATGGTGTTATTAACTTCAGAAAAAGTTTCTGAAGTTAATAACACAAAATTATTTTAAGGGTTAGTGAAATGTATGCTGAACTGCAGTTACTATCATTGCACACATTCAAAGAAACTATTTTAAATACAGTAAATAGTTTCTCTTTACTCTTTTTTCTCATAATGCATTCATGTACCATATTGCATATGTTCACTTTATGCATATTCATAGGGTTCATGTTCGTTTAGTAGAGATTGGTATATACAGTGACTGTAAATTCAGTATGTATGATTTTGTTAAGGCTAAACGATATAATTTTCCTCCGATATTTTTTTCACCATACACATTAATAGTGTGTGATCGTGTTTGTGTGATCTACGTGTGGCTTGGTGGGGCCCACTGTGTGGGCGAAGCGTAGTCGATGGGGATCGCATTGTGCTGCAAATGTTTATTTTTTCCATAGTACCTGGGGTATTGAAGCAAATGCTAAGGTAGCTTTGGGAAAAGGTTGGACAAGTGGATGGGTGGGAATGATTATTTTTTGAGAAGGACGTGCCTTGTTTGGGCTAGTAGGCCTGCTGCAGTGTTCCTCCATTCTTATGTTCCTATGAGCTGAGCTTCCATTAGTCTGGTAAAGACTGATCAAGAACTGTAGATTTAAAAGTACCTGCACACATTTTTTTTTTAGGGGGGGGGGGGGGAGGCAGTAGGTGTTTGTGTAAATTTTATGTGATCACTGGGGAGGCAGAACGGGGCTTGTACCCAATCCCCCCCCCCGCTAACCTCAGCACATGTACCTTCCCACAGCAAATGCCAGGCACCTTATCCCCTCCCCATAATTTTTGGGCATACAAAGGCGAGTGGGTTCAGGGATGGGTGGGGGTATGGAAGGGGGAAAATACAGTGGGGGGGTGTGGTGGGGGGGGGGGGGTATTGTCAACTGCTAGGGATGGGGGGTGTTGTGGTGGGTGGAGTACAGTGTGGGGGCACTGTACACTGTAGAAGCATAGTGTATAAGCAATGGAGAACAGTGTGGGGGTTGATGTTGGGTTGGAAAAAGTTTTGGGCTAGAGTAAAATTTTTTTTAGTAGAGTACACAGTAAGAGGGGAGGTGGGGGAATATGGTGGAACTGGAGTGGGGGGGAGGAGGATTTAGAAAAAATTTAAACTATTGAAAAGAAAATGGGGGAGGGAAATGCTGAGAGGGACAGAGGAAAGGGGAACACAAGAGAGAATAGGAGAGTGGAAGGAAATTGTTTTATAATTTAAATAAAAAAAGAAAAAGAAGCAAAGATTGGAAAATTTTTCCCCTCGGAATATCTTTTAAATTATAAGGGTTTTACATAAAAATAGGTACAGATTTTTAAAAGCAGTCGACTTACGCTTTTTCAGAACACATTAATGTCATAAGTGAGGGACCTAATATTTCTCATTTTTTTTATTATTATTATTTATAAAAATGATGACCAGAATAAAAAGAAATTGGGCATGGGGAAGTTTATTGAGCCCGAAAGACACGGTAATTAAATTTTAAAAATCTTGGATAGTCAAAATCTGCAAAAAAGGAAGCCTTTTCGAATTTTCAAGGCGCTGTAAGATATAAATATCCTTTTCTTGAGTTGTTGCAAAAACCCAGCTTGTAAATATATGAAATATGGTAAAGTACTTTAATTTAAGACACAATAAATTTAACCACAAAAAGATTTCAAATTTGCAAATTGGTGATTATCATGGAAAAGCACTAAACCCATAAGGGTTTTTAAGAAGCAGATACAGTATAAGGTTCATACGTATCACTTCATGCCATTTAGGACTACAGGAGGATAAAGTGAAAAGTTTTTGTTGGAAAAAATGAATCCCAAACCTGAAAAATTTCACAAAAAATGAAAAAAAAAAATTATGAGAGAAACAATTTTAATAAAATAAATTTTAAAAAAAAAACAGTTAACCCTTTTAAATGTCCCCCAAAATGACACGTTTTTACGTGTGTAGCGCCTCCGCCTTTTTTTTCCCCATTTGAAAGCATGTAAAAATAAGTAGATCTATGTTCGGAGGCCCCCCCCCACTGGACGTAGAGCTACATTTACAGTTTAAGGGTTAAGACAGGAAGAGAAATTTTAAATATCAGACGAAAAAACACCTAAAAAGATAGTTAAGATATATCACAGTACGATAAAGCAATAGTTATAGAAGTTGACAAATATGTAAAATTAATCTCAACTAAAATTCACCTAAACTAAATAAAATCAGTTAACCAAGACACAGAATAGTGCTAAAAATAATGAAAGCTATGCAAATGTAGCCAAGAAACAAACTAAAGTAGGAGCAGAAGTAGCCAAGAATAAGAACTGAACACTAAGGCAAATCTTAGTCCGAAGTTTAAAAAAAAAAGTTAATTGCAACAGTGACAAAATTTATTAAAGTAGCACTTTAAAAAAAAAAAAGGTAATACAGTGGACTCCCGGTTAACGATATTTTTTCACTCCAGAAGTATGTTCAGGTGCCAGTACTGACCGAATTTGTTCCCATAAGGAATATTGTGAAGTAGATTAGTCCATTTCAGACCCAAGACATACACGTACAAACGCACTTACATAAATACACTTACATAATTGGTCACATTCGGAGGTGATCGTTATGCGGGGGTCCACTGTATTATGCTACTGTTTGGCACTCAGAATTAACATCAAGAAATGACAAAAATGAGGACTTTTTTTTTTAAATGATAAGACACTGAAGGTTTACATTAAGAAACTATACATTATTTTCAAAGCAAGTGCTAAACTCACTGATGTCATACAGCACCTGGGGAATGGAAGGCAATCAAGTTGAGGCCAAGGAAACTGAGGGGTAGCAACAATTCCTTGGATAAAAAGCACTTCACCAGCATCAAGGCACCCACTAGAAGCAAAAAAAAAAAAAAAAAAAAATACACAGCAAAATATAAACACCTAAACAAATATGAGAAAGGCAAGAACAGACCTTCAAAATTATAATTTATGTTTGTTAAGCAAATGGAAGAACTTCAAAGGAAAGCAAAGGTAGTGAATACACATGAAAAACTCTGACAGGATTAGAGCTTTTCATGAGTAATAATAATAATAAATAATGAAGCCTACCTTATGGAGTTCTCCAGTTGATTCACTAGTGGAGTTTCAGGTTCCTCCTTTATTAATAAGGATGAGTCATCTTCCATAATGTAGAACTTTCCTGTAATACAAGCAAAGATGTAAATTTTACGGATTTTTATAACTGTAGCAATGATATTAAATAACAATTATCACTATATAAAATTAACGAAGAAGACAATAAAACGACCCAACGTATACACATTAGTAAAGGCAGGCAAGCTGTTTCTTGCATCACGTTACTCCCACATAATAGATCAAATAATGCTTAATACTGAAGTTAGATTTTATTGGGTTGGTCAGATTAAGATGATTTATGTCAGGTTAAGTAAGTTTATTTAGTTACATTTACACAGTATTGGGATGAGTAAATTTGTCTTATGTTTATTTAGGTACAGGTATACACAAGTAAAATTATTATACCTAGAAACATGTGCAAATTACCTAAGATAATCCAAAAAAAAAGCCAGTGACTATTTCCACTGGAGTCCTTCCATAGTAACATGTGTAAATTACCCAGCATAACCAAAAAGTCAAACAGGACTTATTTCCACTGGGGTTATGTTGTGTAAGTTAAGTTATATTATGTCTGGGCAGGTCAGACACTGCTAGATTAAACAAGGAACACTAACCTGATACTCAAGCAACTGATTATTTCCAAAAAAGCCAACATAAATTTATGCATCCTGATTTAGCTTTTGTTGAGCCAACTTTTGGCAACTACAAGAACCGTAGTGTAGTTGCCTTCGTCACAGATGAAAGAACCAATACAGTACAGCCTATCTTGGGCTAATAAACCCCAGCACACGGCTGGATTATAGGCCTACAAGCACCACCTTCCTCTTTGTCTTCTATTTTATGAACTCAGATAACTGGGTCATAATTGTCCGAATGTGCTCGAGAACATTCTATGATTATCTTTTTAGCTCTAAATCTTTTGAATAACTTATAAAAATTTATTTTATGCTAGCAAATATATTTACACTATTTTAGGCACTGGATAGTAATTAATAGTCAATAAAAAGTCAAAATAATAAGTCAATTAAAAGCACAATTACATAAAAGATAACAAAACGAACGTAATAAACACAAGGAGCTACGAATATATATTAAAATAATGGTTATTAACCATGGGGAGTTATTAACCCCGGAGGATTAATAGCGCTGGAAAGTTAATAATCTTGGAGGGTTAATAATTCATTATAACCCAATAAAGTCCAGCAGTGTGACTTATTGCAGTTGGGATCTTTGGCTCTTCCCCAGGATGCCACCTAGTTGTTGTATGTTTGACAATGATGACGTATATACAAGAGCCCTTAGTTGGGCAATGTATTTCGAGCCCTGATTATGATATACGGTGAAGAAGATAACCTGGAGAGAGTTCCGGGGGTCAATGCCCCCGCGGCCCGGTCTGTGACCAGGCCTCCTGGTGGATCAGAGCCTGATCAACCAGGCTGTTGCTGCTGGCTGCACGCAAACCAACGTACGAACCACAGCCCGGCTGATCAGGAACTGACTTTAGGTGCTTGTCCAGTGCCAGCTTGAAGACTGCCAGGGGTCTGTTGGTAATCCCCCTTATGTATGCTGGGAGGCAGTTGAACAGTCTCGGGCCCCTGACACTTATTGTATGGTCTCTTAACGTGCTAGTGACACCCCTGCTTTTCATTGGGGGGATGGTGCATCGTCTGCCAAGTCTTTTGCTTTCGTAGTGCGTGATTTTCGTGTGCAAGTTCGGTACTAGTCCCTCTAGGATTTTCCAGGTGTATATATCATGTATCTCTCCCTCCTGCGTTCCAGGGAATACAGGTTTAGGAACCTCAAGCGCTCCCAGTAATTGAGGTGTTTTATCTCCGTTATGCGCGCCGTGAAAGTTCTCTGTACATTTTCTAGGTCGGCAATTTCACCTGCCTTGAAAGGTGCTGTTAGTGTGCAGCAATATTCCAGCCTAGATAGAACAAGTGACCTGAAGAGTGTCATCATGGGCTTGCCCTCCCTAGTTCTGAAGGTTCTCATTATCCATCCTGTCATTTTTCTAGCAGATGCGATTGATACAATGTTATGGTCCTTGAAGGTGAGATCCTCCGACATGTGGCCCGGTGGTCTGGTGGCTAAAACTCCCGCTTCACACACAGAGGGCCCGGGTTCGATTCCCGGCGGGTGGAAATTCTGACACGTTTCCTTACACCTATTGTCCTGTTCACCTAGCAGCAAATAGGTACCTGGGTGTTAGTCGACTGGAGTTTACCTGGAGAGAGTTTCGGGGGTCAACGCCCCCGCGGCCCGGTCTGTGACCAGGCCTCCTGGTGGATCAGCGCCTGATCAACCAGGCTGGGTGTGGGTCGCATCCTGGGGGACAAGATTAAGGACCCCAATGGAAATAAGTTAGACAGTCCTCGATGACGCACTGACTTTCTTGGGTTATCCTGGGTGGCTAACCCTCCGGGGTTAAAAATCCGAACGAAATCTTATCTTATCACTCCCAGGTCTTTGACGTTGGTGTTTCGCTCTATTTTGTGGCCAGAATTTGTTTTGTACTCTGATGAAGATTTAATTTCCTCATGTTTACCATATCTGAGTAATTGAAATTTCTCATCGTTGAACTTCATATTGTTTTCTGCAGCCCACTGAAAGATTTGGTTGATGTCCGCCTGGAGCTTTGCAGTGTCTGCAATGGAAGACACTGTCATGCAGATTCGGGTGTCAACTGCAAAGGAAGACACGGTGCTGTGGCTGACATCCTTGTCTATGTCGGATATGAGGATGATGAACAAGATGGGAGCGAGTACTGTGCCTTGTGGAACAGAGCTTTTCACCGTCCGTCCGAGAGTAGTCGTCTGTTGACGACTACTCTCTGTGTTCTGTTAGTGAGGAAATTATAGATCCATCGACCGACTTTTTCCCGTTATTCCTTAGCACGCATTTTGTGCGCTATTACGCCCCTGGTCACACTTGTCGAAGGCTTTGCAAAGTCTGTATATATTACATCTGCATTCTTTTTGTCTTCTAGTGCATTTAGGGCCTTGTCGTAGTGATCCAATAGTTTGAGACAGACAGGAGCGACCTGTTCTAAACCCATGTTGCCCTGGTTGTGTAACTGATAGGTTTTCTAGATGGGTGGTGATCTTGCTTCTTAGGACCCCTTTCAAAAGATTTTTATGATATGGGATGTTAGTGCTATTGGTCTGTAGTTCTTTGCTGTTGCTTTACTGCCCCCTTTGTGGAGTGGGGCTATGTCTGTTGTTTTTAGTAACTGTGGGACGACCCCCGTGTCCATGCTCCCTTTCCATAGGATGGAAAAGGCTCGTGATAGGGGCTTCTTGCAGTTCTTGATGAACACAGAGTTCCATGAGTCTGGCCCTGGGGCAGAGTGCATGGGCATGTCATTTATCGCCTGTTCGAAGTCATTTGGGCGTCAGGAAAACATCGGATGGGTTGTTTTTAATCAAATTTTTTGGCTCCTCATAAAATTCATTTTGATCTTCACTCTCATCGGTTACGGTTGCTAAAAACTAGTCAATTGGAACTGGTAGTCACTAATTTCCCTTGCGGTCATCTGTGTAACCCATCTTGTTCGGGGGCCCAATAGGGGACGTTGTCTCGATTTTGTTTGGGCATAGAGGAAATCTTGGGGTTTTTTTCGATTTCTTTTTGGCTTTTTTTTTTTCCCGCGATTCCTGACCCCAAAAGGATTTTTTTTAGTTAAGTTCGAGTTTGCTATTTCTTGACAAGTCTCCCTACGTTTCAGATATATTACCTTTTTAGCCTCTTGTTATTTTTTTTCCGTCGCCTGAAAAAGGGAGCGCCTGCCCTTTTCTATTTTACATCTACTACCCTTTTTTTAAAGGGGAATAAGCCTTGTATACATCGAGTGACCGATTAATCGTTCTAGGCAAAAAGTTGGGGCTTGTTGCTTAGTATATCTTCCCAGTTATATGGGTTAGGACGGGTTTACTTGGGCCCCCACTTTTGTTTTTTTTTATTGAAGTTAAATTTTTGGTGAATCCCCGTGACTAGTTCTTATGTCGGTCTGGGGCTCCACGCTACTTTTGAACCCAATTATTTTGTGATTGGTATATTGTTTTTGTTTTGGTACATTTTCATCAGTCTCATTGTGTGAAATGAGGTCTAGTGTATCCCACCCTGGGTAGGCTCTATTTTTTGGGGTTTAAAATTGAATTTTGTGCAAGGTTTAAAAGCTCGTGTGATTTTTTCACAGAGCTGCCTCTGGTGTTATTACTGCAAAAATATTTTTGCTATATTCCCCCATTTTGGGGCCCTTAAGTTGAAATCCCCGGGAGCAAATGTTGGGTGCAGGAGCGGAAATTTTCCAAAGTGTAAATTTTTTTAACGCTGTTCCGGAATTGCGGGGGGGATTTGCACCCGGAGGTTTGTGACTACCACAATGACGGGTTTTTTGGTTCTCGATTTTTACTGCTAAAATTTCCCACACTCATTTGGGGCTTTAAGAGTTCTGTGCAAACAGTGATGAAAGTAAAGGAAACCCCCCCCCCCTTTTCCCTGTTCATCTGTACATCTGTATAGGTTGAAACCGGGGATCCATTTTTTCGTTATAATGACCCTTTTTATGTGGGTTCAGTGAAAGCCGCGAACATTCCCTTTTCCCTCTCAAGCTCCACGGATAAAAGGGTATTTTGTTGTTTGTTCTGGTTTTAGACCCTGATATTTGCAAAGAAAAAATGTTATCGGACTGGTGGTATTTTTGGGACTGGGGGGGATTTTTTTTCCGGCTTAGATCTGTATCTTTGGTTTGGAGTGGAGGCCAAATGACTTTTTTACCGGGGATTTTAAACCTGGAGAGAGTTTGGGGGGTCAACGCCCCCGGGCCCTCTGTGACCAGGCCTCCTGGGGTTCCACCCCAGGAATGCGGTTTTGGGTGTACATTTCTGCCTTTTCCCTGCCAGTTTTTTTCCTTCCGGCACAAAAAAAACCTCCCCCCTTTGGTGGCTGGGCTCCCCAGTTTTCCCATGGTGGATGTTTTTTATCTTTTTTTCCCCCACATGGTATGCCCGGCAATTTATTTAGCACGTCTTTCCCCGTACTGAAGATGTACACAGTTCAGGGTGAAAAGCTTATAGGGGAAGGGATTTGATTTTCCTGTTTTCAATGGGGTGGCATTTTCAGGGTGGGCTAGTTGCACGTCCCATTGTTTTTTCCCAAAATTCCCCTGCCCGCGGGTACCGAGTGCATAGTATGGCACAGGCTTGGGTTTCCCTTTGTCTTGGGTTTTTGTGACTATTCCCCGTTTGGGGCAGTTTCCCCGTCTTACTTCTTCCTCCCCGCACCAAAAAGGAGCTCCCCCCATTGTTTTTGGTAATATATCCTCACTATTTCTAGTGGAGCCTCTTTTTCTATTTCCGGGTATTTTAGTTTGCAATATTTTTTATCTTTTCTTTGACAAACTTGTTTCCCCACTATGGCTCCTGTCCCCTAAGAGGGCATTTTATTATTCCTTCCTGCGTAAATTCCCACTACCTGGACAAAACTCCAGCTTCACCATTTCTTTTTCCCCCGGGCAGCATCTCCAGCTTCACCATTACGTCTCCCGACAGCCCTCCCCTTCACCTTACTGTCTCCCAGGACAGCACCCACTTCACCATTATGTCCCCAGGACAGCACTATCGCCCCACTTTTCTACTACCAGGGCTTCATCTCCAGCCTTAGTAAGTAAGTAAGTAAATTTATTTAGGTAAACACAATACAGTTACAAGAATTTAAAAACATAGCACTATGTGTAGAGAACCAGATAACCCCAAAAAAATCAGACAGAGTGCTTTTTTCCTTTTAAATTTTGGACTACATGGGCCCGTATCAAGGGGAGTACATTCAGCCCAACTTTTTATGTTCCCCTTTTTGTAGAAAGTTCCAGGTTTTTTTATGAAACACTTTGATGTTGTCCCTTTTTTAAAACCCTTTGATTTTTGCCCCAAATTTATCTCATTTGGGGATACCCAAAAAAAAT